GTTACCGAAAGGAAGGAAATGAGTTTGGGGACAAACGTTTGACCGGACATGAGTCTGGATTCATCACTTCTCTCCTGAAACGAAACGCAGCTCCCTCGAGTGGAAACATTCCACTTCCCCGACTCGAAAAAGTGTCGAAATGTTCTATTTGCGGGGAACGTGATGCTGATGCTGACGCTGTTTTTCGATACAGAAAGTTTCGCGCATACATAGTTCATACCAAAAGGTGCCACAATTAATGCATGTTCTTATTGTGAAACATTAAAAGGATTGCGAGAACCACTTAAAAATCGACCGCCAGGTAAACTATCGAAAGGAATTGTGCTCTTGCGTGACAATGCAAGACCGCATGAAGCAAAACAAACGTGTGACCTTCTGAAAATGTTTAGGTGGGAGGTGTGGGATCATCCTCCTTATATCCCAGACCTTGCCACCGTGTGACTTCCATGTTTGGGGGCCCATGAAAGCAGAACTTTCAAAGAGACGATACCACTCGGATGACGAGGTGAAAGTTGCAACCCAAGAATGGTTATGGAGCATTGGACGTGATTTCTTTGCATAAGGAATCGAAAAACTTGTAGCGCTCCTCGACAAACGTTTAAATAGCGTAGTAATAAATTACATTGAAAAGCAGATTTTGAATGGAACTTTAAGATACAAATAAAGTTATTGTAAAATTTCTATCCTGTTTCGTTTTCTTAAGCAGTGTAACTAACTTTTTGACTGACCCTCGTATAATAAAATTTTGTATGAATGCAGAGAAATATAAGGCAATAATTTGTATCGTATAATAGTTAAATTCTCTTTTAATGATAAATAATAAAAGCAGAAATGCTCAAAATTTAAATTGCAAACTCGCTTCGAAACTGAGACAAAAGGAGGACAAGGTCTTCTCAACACATATATCGTATAACGATTCGTCCTGCCGCTAACGAGATAATTATTTGAAAACCTATGCCAATCGCATTCATTCTTGCGCAAAGCATTCTCAGCCGTTTCCAGAGACTGTTGCTGAATTCCAGTTGCCTGACCGAGCGGCGAATTGTTGAATGTTGATATTTTGTCCTTTTATGAGTATTTGCGTGGATTTTCCTTAGTGTATCGTGGATACAAATCAGCGGTGCTTTGTCATAATAAAATAAATCGAACTTAATTGAATTGTTTTCGTAGGTGCATACCAGATATCTGCAATCCCGTAAGTCCGAAGATCTCTCTTGTCAATACATTTGCTGAATACCCTCATTTTGAAAACATTCGCAGACTATTTATGTGAGCAAAGGCTTTAGTCCATAAAAAAGACTGAAATCCAACTTGCGCCCCTCAAAACATAGCACATAAGAATCTACTATCTCTTCTCTGTATCTCTGAATAAACCGAGCTTGAGTAAAACACATGGAGTGGTCTGTGAGCATTCAATATGATGCCTTCCCAAACTCTGACATTTTCCTTCCCATAATAATCTCTTTGCCTGATACTAGAGAGCTGAAGCAGATTTTAAACTCTCTTCAGATGAGGGCTCACTAAATCAAAGCTAAGTGTAAATTCTTGTTGAAGAGAACTTCGGTCACCCGTAGTTGGCTTCAAGACTGATGTTCTCTGCCTGTACTCTTGTGTGAGGGAATGAAGAGACACAAAAAACGGGTCTTCTGGCAAAAGGTCCTCTTTCATGAGACGTTACGGAAAGAGTAATTTTTGAAATTAAGGCTGCAGTGGCAGCTGAAAGCTGACTAGTTATTTGAGTGGGTGTAGCAACCTTATGAAACCTGGTTCAAAATGGCAAATACTGCTCTTTGTTTAGTGTCATGGCTCTTAGAACCCTCGTCTAGGTCTCGTGGATGTGGGTTTGAAAAGAACGGGTAACAAAACAGTGTCCTTCCACAATTTCGTGTTGCCTACAATTTAAAATTCGACTACTATCTTTGTATTCTCAATATTTGTTCTGCCAAGAGGCTTTTATTTCATACACTGGAAATGACGTTATACAGGCCATGTTTTGGTTTGGATGCTCAATCTGTGTTATTAACTATGCTAAAAATTTCCTGAAACTGTGCCAAACATTGCGGATGACACTGTAGAAAATTGTTTTGACATCTTAACTAGGTAATTTCCTGCCTCCAATTTAGCCCCTAATCTACTTTATTTGTCATATACACATTAATGGTTGCTCTTTCTATAGCATTTTCATCCGGTTTTGTAAAATTTACAGCAAACAATGATTAACATCATCCTTTACGAAAGAAGTAAAAGCAAGAACAACAAATGGCAGCTTTTTTATACCTATAGCGGTCGCAACGACACCTAGATATATTAGTCCGACTATATTTTAAAAACAACAAATTTATTTTCTGAATTTTGAACATTAATGTATTTATCCCGTCGTCCACATATTTCCAGTTCCCGTGTATAATTCTGTGGAAAGAACTTGCTGTAAGTTTTAACCATTTTACCTCTCTTCAAAATGCATCCGCTACAGTCTCCTCAGTAGTGCTAGGGACAAAATGGAAACTAATTTTACATATATTGACTGATACATTAAGACTTATTTATATGCTATCATCTACATGAGATTTTTCCAGAATGCGTAGTGGTCTATTCCATGCATTCCTTTAGGTGAACAATATCTAATATTTTTCATTCAGAAGCGTGCTTTGATCTTCCAACAGTGAGGTGGCACATTGACAAATTCTGCAGACCGTCTCGTCATAGGATAAGCCTTGTCTATATATTTCAATTCCCCCTACGTTGTCGAAAGTGGCCATTAGGAATGTATCAGTGTTCTTTAGAAGAGATCATGCTATGTTTATATGTACTGCATTTACTTTCAATAGTGTAATTAGAAGATGTGATTTATATAAAAGTTATCAAGCACCAGTATTTGAGACTTTACCATAGTGCATTTTGTCCTAAATATGTTCCTTTACATGTTCCTTTCCTACATGATTGACGTCTCTAATATAACATAATGCACTAATTCAAGAATACAACGTGCTTAGGCTGACATATTTCACAGGTAATGTGTGGGGGTTAACCTTGGTCTCTCATTTAAAAATTCCTTTTAAAACGGTGTTTTGTCATTGATGCTTACTCAATAATTGGATTCATCATCTCAAGAAATATTACACAACCTATTAATAGTGCGGAAAACCTATACGTGTACATAAACATTGGAAGTAATCAGAAGCATTGCCAATCTTGGACGATATTCATTACACAAGGGGTGTGTAACATACTGAACATTTCATTTTCGTTTATTTGTTATCCGTTTCCCTCAAACGAACCTAGTTCGCCTCTCGTTTCGTTTTTCTTCATTATCTTCTCAAATTAGTTTCATTTCTTAAGCTTTAGCCAAAACTTGGTGAAAGAGGCCTTACCAGGTAGCACAATGTGTTCTTTAACACAGTGTGTTCGAAAAGTAACTATACACTTGTCATGCACTACTATCACAGTACGTAACAGCTACCTGCCAAGGTGTTACTAGAAGCGATTTTCATGAACATCCAAATATGTCTGCACTCACTTCTTCTCGTTCTCGAAGTCTTACGAATTGTTAATGTGGAATGTTCTTTGGTGAAATCATGAATCAGTTTGAAATTCCTTGAGCCTGTCGGAATTTCCTCAATATATACTATTTTTTCTCAATATTTATTATCTTAAATCTGAAGACCGTCACCACAAGTTCTTATATCTCCGATCTCTTATACAGCCAAGCAGTTTTATGAACTGCTTGGCTGTATGAGCGGTTGTATCATCGATTAGCTCTCTCGCGAAATGTTGAAATGATTTCACACTAACGATTTTATTTAGTTTTTTGCGATGAATATTAAGCTGAATATCATTAAGTTCGTTATTGCAATTTACACCTAAATCATCTAATCATATAAAGTGGGTGGTCTCAAACTCAACTTGAATGGGGGCTGAATGCACAGTCTAAAAACAGATAATCGATGAACTAAAATATTTTAACTAAATTTTAAATTTCTCGGAATTAAATATTTATCAATGTATATATGAATAATAATATTGGAAAAAATCCAAATTTACATCTATTTTTTTATCTGGGGTATAACGTTTAACGCCTGCAAGGCACTTTTATTGGTATCAAATATATTGATATTTAAATGTTAAATTTTCATCTTGACATTTATTTTCAAATTCTTTACGTTTAATATCTTTAAAGAATCATTAAATAACCTAAAGCAGCTACTCAATTTACGACGGAAGCTCTAGAGATAAAATCCATATCGGAGCACTTTGCATTCATGTAACAATGGAAAGGGCTCAAAGCCGCACGAGGAATGACCATTTACGCCAATAAAGTGTTTTTATTTACCACTCAACCATTTCCGCACACACATTCAATTATAAAATCTAATTTCGCTCATCTCTGCTTGACTTTATATTTTTGCCAGATAATCTTAAACATCCTGCTTGTCCAGATATTCTTAAACATCCAGTAAAATCGACTGTTGCCGAATGTTTTCATTGAAATTAAAATCCTCTAAAGGCCCACGAAATGAAAAACTGGATCGAAGTAATCACACTTATTACGATATTTACTCGTAAAATTATCAAGGACGGTTTGCATACCGTCTCAATAGTCTTCGCCATGAAACGTAGAAACTAAGCACAGTAGCAATACCTGTACTTTGCCATGATAAATATTGCATAAGTTCTACTTTATACGTGTGCACACATAGATACGAGTACTTACGTACCGACCGAATAAAGCCACCGCTATACGAGCCATTAGTTTCACATAAAATTTTCACCAGAAACGGACAAGACTTTCACAATTGAAATAAACATCCTTATATATATTATGTTTGTTGACCATGTAAAACCAGCTGATTTGCTCTCGGACTTTTATTTGCCTGAATCCAAACAAAGACTTAAAGACAGTTCGGAATAAATCTGCTACCAAACTGTCTAGGACATAAACTGCTAGAAAACCGAGCAGACATGTTCACTTCGCTAAGAAACTTGCTTCTTATATTTCAATTTAATAATTTTTTAATTTGCTTTGTAATAATATTTATTATATTTTTCATTTTTATACGTGTGTATTGCAACATTTCATATGGTGATCACATTTTTAATTACACAAAATTAGAAATTTTGCTACCGATTAATTAAACACAAAATTTTTATTGCGGGGGACATAACTAGGCAGCACGGATCTCCTGATGCAACACGTCTTTGCTTTCAGTTGCCATCATAGGAATTGGGGAGGGGGGTTAACTATTGTCATTGGTCAGGGAAGCGATAATGGAGCGCGGTTTATTCTCTGGGTAGTTTCCTTAAATAGGAGTTTGGAGTCTTAAAGAGAAGTTTGCTGTTAAAAAACTCCTGGAGTCCTTTAATGTCGGAAGGCAAGCATCTGAAGTTTACATAAAGATCAGATTTGTAAGGAATACAGAATGTAAAGTTCTTGATGAATGCTGTAAAAATATTATATATATCAAGAAAAATAATATCTACAGCAGTTAATGTTGGAAGGAATGTTCACGCTTGACTATTCGTAAAGGACCAATTCCGAATTCAAAATAAGTATCAAATATTGCTTTGTTTTAGACAGAACCACATACGGAAACTATAAAGATTTCTATTTCGAGTATGAATGTTTGTTTTCTTTATATATCTGATTTTATTAAAATATGTTCATGCCTTGACTATAGCTTACGTTTGATTAAAGTATTTACCTCAAAGAATCCAGAAGAATATAAAGTTAGCGACTAAATGTCAAAACATTGCATAATTCTAAAATTCAGAAGTTTTATTTAAAACTAATTTAAATAATTTATGCACATATATACAGATGAAAATAAGGATTATTTTTTTAATCGAGCTTTTTCAATAGCAATGTCCGATGTATACATTTTTCTCTTTCATCCAATTATGAAATGTAAACAGTTGCAATTTAGAATTCCTATCATCCGTATATTTTTTTATTAGAAATCTGCCTCCCGAAAAAAAGTCACTATTCTTTCTTTGTACTATGACGAAATTGATTCTTAACTTTATCGATTTCCGAATAAACACCTATGGTTTGTGCGTTGACTAAAGCCCTTCCTGAATTTTCGATAGATGATATATTATCTTGGCTTCTACCTTTAGCAATATCCGACTTGGGATTTGTAATTTCAAGATCAGATGAAGTCACTGCTGAAATGTTCCTATGCGTTAATGCATCCTGCTTCCTATCTTTTGCCATTTCTGATTTGTCTTCGGTTATTCCGTGTTCGAAGTCCATTCCTTGTTCCATCACTTGTGAACTTTCGCCATATCTCGCGTCACTGTGGTTTCTGCATTTTTTGGTTACTGAATGAGCGTCCCCAGTTCTATGGACGATATAAAATCGTTACTGAACGTTCAATATCTGCTCGATCATCTTCGCTGTTATCTTCTGCTATTACTAATTGCCCATATTCTGTTTCCTTTTCAAATGATGCTCTTGTTGAATCATTTGGGTTCCTAATTTCATTAGCTGTTATTTCATCTCCTGACTGTTTTTGGTCTTCAAGAAAATCTGATGGCATTTTTGGCTATGTGGAGGAGGAGCTGGGTCTTTCTAAAAACACAGGGCTGCAGAGCTTCACAGCTTGTAATCTGATAATACGTGGATTCGTCCCTGGTTGGATTTGGCGTTGCGAATTTGATGCAGTCGGAAGTTTAAGCACGGTATATGAATTTCCCAACTGATTTTTATCTGCTTGCGCTTCACTTTCTTCCCCATTTGTCCTATGTGTTGGGAAATCAACACTGGAGCTTTGATTTTGAGTGGGTGGAGAAAAGGTTATGGAAAGCCTCCTTTCCCATCTTTTCTGTCCCGAATGAGCTGAAAGACTTTCTGAAGAGAAACTTTTGATTTCTTCCACATCTTTTCTACGTAATGTTGGTGATTTTTTTATTGAAATTCGGCTTGGCGTACATGGAAGAGATATGCAAAGGAGGCTAATTTGCTTTTTTTTTAATATAAATAGGAGGAGTTGATGAAGCTTTCTGGGGAGGAAGAATTTTGCTTGATCTGTTTGAACCTTCCTCAGAAGAATGTTCAGATAATTTCGGCTTTTTTATACCTTCAGCTTCATATTTAGAGGGCGATTCAGCTTCTGGACCAGACAAAGATCTCTGATGACGAGAAGTGATTCGAGAAGACGTCGTTGACAAGGGGGTCTCAAATGAATCAGCCCCTTTTCTTTCAGACGTTTTAGGTGCAGTTTGGTCATTGGAAGCTTTCAGACAAGAAACCGCGCTCGAACTGCCAGATTTCATTACATGGACACAGCTTGTTGGACTTGAAGAAACTGTAGTTGATTTAATGGCTTTAGAATCTTCACTTTCATTTTCTTCTTCGGTTTCGAAATACGGCTTTCGTTTGCGTTTTTCAGATCTATTATTCGTCTCTTCAGAGCATCCAGCATTTCCCTTCACCTGCAAGTTAAAAAAAGGATGAAATAAATATTGATAGTTATTTTATACAATAATAAATTTATAAGAATGACAAGACGTTATTTTATGAGACACAAATTTGAGACCAATTATCAAAAGAATATTGAGTATAAAAAATTTTAATAAAATGACTTATGTTTAATTACGCTTTTCTGAGAGAGAAGGGAAAATTAAAATACTGAATTTGTACTCAAATCAGCCACAGATTAATGACCATATAGATATCCATTCAATGTTTTCTTATTTTCTATATCTTATCTTTAAATTCTGCATAAATTCTGCATATAATAAAACATAATTAGATGACGAGGAAGAATGCCAAGTCTCAAAAAATTAATTTTGCTTTAAATCTAGTCATGGAAAGGTCTAGACCCATATGCAGATTAATTATTACAGTACCATATATTGATTTTCCTGCTTTTCCATTGTTATATCATAGCCTGCCAGTAACCGAGTGACTAAGACCATTGAACAGTGGTAATTCAAGAAGAGTTTGAATTCAAGAAACGAACTGATTGTACGAGTACTTTGGTTTATATGTAGCATGAGCAGAAGTCTATTGCCTGCAACTTTTATGCAGACAATTCATCTTTGTCTTGTCCTCTTCAGTTCAGGAACGAAACGTCTTAAACCACAGGTATATTTTGAAATGGAACGAATTTCCGTGATCTAATTAGTTTTCTTCTATTAATGCATTTTTACGCACAAACTACATTTTTAGTATACTAAAATGAGAAATTGGCTGAAAATAAAAAATAAAGTTTAAATAAAGTATAATCATAATATCTTCGCTATATTTATTACCATTTCATGGAGAACAGAAACAAAAATTTAAATAAAAAACAGTTAAGAATATTCTTGTCTAACAGGCAAGTCAAATCAACCGGTAAATCAATGCCTATAACGGAGAAGAATGCGTGTAAGATACGAAATATTTTTTTTTAATTGATTACGATTAAGCACGCAAGAAAGTTTAACCATTTCACCATTTCCTTGGAGATAAACTCTTCAATTCCAAAAAAGTGTAAATTCAATTCTAAAAAAGTGTCGTCAGGCGTCAGCACAAATACTCAATCGACATGTTCAAAATACTCTATTGCAAAATATTCCCGGAATACGTAGAAATTATCCCCACTGGTCAAGTAAGTTGGTTAAAAACTGGCAGATGACGTCAATGGAACCAGCTGTTCACATTCCATCCTGTTCACATGGATTTGAAAAACATCCATGTGAACAGGCTGGTTGCATAGACATATTTTCTAGACTGGTATGAATACGAACCATGTTCCCTTAAAATATTCTACAAGAAAGCTCTAGTGTGCTTTGTCATAATCTAATGAATCCGAATTTTCTTTAAAACTATCTCTTCACACAGTTTCAGTGACTGTTTGTCTGGAGGCCATTACTGTTTCCTCACATTTAATCATTATCGGAGCTCAAAGTGATGTACACATACAACTTCTCTTTAGTATTCAATTAAACCATCAAGTTAAATTTCATTTTCAAGACCTCGACGGAAAATGTTGATTTGATTTAGTTGATTATAGCAAAGCACACTAGCACGCTATGTGCCTAAGGAGAGAAGACTGTCTGAGGGAAACTGGCTCGTATACAGGTGACACATGGGGAAAATCACAGGAGCATCCATGCAGCCAGATTGTTTGTCTAGAATTAAAGCCAGGTCGTAACTTCCAGTGTTCAACGATTTTATCGTTCAGCCTCTGGTTGGGCTTCGCTACAAAATGTGTGGTAAGCCAGTTTAAGAATGAAATTTGATTACATAAGCTTTCAAGATGCTACAATTTGGGTCTCTGGTATCTTTAAGTAAATTTTAATGGACTTTCGTATCTTTCTAGCCAGTTTCAAGGTAAGTGAATTTTGAAAATACCTTTTGCCTAAAAACGTATTGTAAATGGCTCATATAAGGAACTTTCCATACGTTTTTTGGAATGGGTAAAAAGGGAGACTAGAGAAATTAAAATATTTAATTCAGAAAATAATTTGGTAATCATATATACACTGTACAGATTAGATTTATGAAAATACCGTACTAAAGAATTTATTATAAAGAATGCATACTATATACTAGCTGGCTTGTGTTAGAAAATGAGTAAAAATTCATATTCTTTCATCCTGTGTGTTAATTATACTTTTGTGTAAAGTGATAGAAACAGAATGGAAAATTAAGTAAAATTTAGGTTTTATGATTTTTTCCCTTTATTCAAAAACGTTTAGACCATATGTTTTAATTGAATTGATAAGGCAAATTTAGAGCCCAGTCAAAAAGTAAACTTAGCTTCAACTTCATATAAATAATTGTCAAAATATGCAGCGTTTTGATACGGTATTGTAACTCTTATGCTTATTATTCTTTGAAATGCTTTTATATCATGACTTTAAATATTGAAGTAAGCCGTATAGATATGCTTTGCTTTTTTATTTATGAAGAGAAACTGCTTTGCACAAAAGTAAACAAAGAACTTCAGTGGCAGACAATTTAGTTTAAAGGCTGGTATTTTGCTTATGAAATCCTGAATTTGTTGATACTTCGGACAAAAGACCGTTTCCTGCTTTAAATAATGTATTTTTGATTAAAATAAAAACATGAAGTAGTATCATTATGCAGTATAATTACTATATGAAAGTTAATCGTCTAAAGAATCTGTGTGGGCAGGAAAGTAATACTGAAAATGAACAGATTTCTTGGCAATGTATCAAACGAAGCCTAGCAATAAATCTCAAGAAATATCTTTTATTTGCAATATAATTTAAAGGGGCTCCTTGAAACACTCCAAAAAACGTCATGCTCCATAATGAACGCAAATTTTCTGCATTGTCATTTTAAAAATATTTGAAAAATTCTGAACATTAAACTTCTATCTAAGTGTCATGTAATGAGCCTGAAATATGCGAAATGACTTCCATACGGAGTTTACAGGAGAGTCATCCGTAAGACAGCTTAGTTTCCTTGACACAAGGCCTTCAATGATCGAGCAGTTAAAACAGCCGGAGTCTGCTTCTTGGGCAACACACGCTGAAATCCCGACTTAGCCATATGGGTGGTTTTCGTGACTTCCTCCGCGAGTAGGCTAATATTAACAAGTTCGCTGTAGAAACATTGCACAAAAAAAAAAAAAAAAAAAAAAAAAAAAAAATGCGGCAACCCTAATGCAAGAAAGGAAGTATAATAGTAAATAACTATCCAAGATTGATGTTTTAATTCAGATGAAAGGTTAATTTCATATCATACTTTTTATTATTATAGTTTATATAAAAAAAGGCTAAACATGACTGAATGGAAGCATAAGAGTAAATAACTATTTCAGATTATTATTATAATTTTATATAAAATTTGCTAAACTAACTGAATGGATGCCTGCATTGCTATTTCGCTACCGAGTTATCGCTAAAGTATAATTTCATCTCTTTGTTTGTTCAAACATAATTTTCTATAATGAACGATACCTTTTCTTTGAAAAAATTCTCATTAAAGTGCAGAATCGCCCACTTATTTGTTTGCCGCTTTTTACAAGGATAAAAACAATTCGATTTTTGTCGATTTTCTTTTAATTTTTAAGTGAAAATAGGTCGATGTGTACATAGATAAAGTCAAGGGTGTGCGCAGTGCCATTTTTCTGAAATTCTGGGAATTTTTTAAGTGAAAATAGGTCGCTGTGTACATGGATACCGAGTATGTGCAATTCTTAGAAAAGCGTCAAGCAGTGGGTGATTCTGCACTTTATCCAAAATTCTATTGCAGACTTTTCGTCATGGGCAATTCCCAAATTGTTAAATCCATATCATATCAAAAAATGATTTAAAAATTAAACTAGTATTTTAATTGCGTCTTAAGAAATATAGAACTATATAAACTTACGCAATCTGAAATCAGTGCTTACGCTAGATTTGGCGCGCTGTTAAATGGGCGCGTTTGCTAGATTTGGCGCTTTTGCGCATACATTTTCGCTGTAATTTTTTTACGGTCCTTAAAACGGAATAGCACCATTTCTTTTTATAATATTTTAGGCGGCTGGCCGCATGTGCGGCTAATACTTAAAATGCTTCACATAATGCACTCAATTAAATACATCAAAGTACTACCCACCTATTATCAATTTTGTCCACTTACTTGAGATGAGTCTGCATCTGTACCAAGTCTTGAAATAAATTGTGAATTTGAAACGCGAATTTTATCAGAGGTGTTTGGGAAAACATCCCCTGTAGGCAGATGTAATGGATATTTGAGCTGTACAAAGCGGTTTGAACTTTCCGATGCTCGAGCATCTTCTCCTGCTACATGCATTTCATCATCTGAATTGTTGGGGGTTGGAGGAATAGCATATTTTTGCAATAACTTCCGTTTCGACATTAATTTCTTTATATCGATTTTAATTTCGTGGCTTTTGTCAGATTTCTTCCGAGGATCTGGGATACCTCTTAGCCAAAGGGAATCTGTCCCACGTTTTGCATCTTTCTCCGGTATTTTTACCATCCACGAACAAGATGCTTCTGAGCTATGAATGCTTGAATTGCCATCTAATGCAACTTCTGGTGACTTAGATTGGCCAGGCGGTTCTTCTGCCTTTGTTTCTCTATGAGGTTTGTAAGGTGAGAAGTGAAGTACTTCTGATCCAGAGGGATTTTGCAAAGTATTTTCTGTTGTTTTTGCAATAGGTTGTTTTATCAGAAGACTCTGGTCATTTGTAACACTTCTTCCTTCTGCTTTGTTGATGGATTGAACTTCTCCTAGAGGCAGGTCTAAGCTTTCCATTGATACCGGAAGAAAATTTTCACTGACAATGTTACTTTGGACTTCCTCAGGTAGTATGGTTGTACTATTTATCTGATTAGCATCAGCAGACCTAGCAGCTGTCATGGGAAACTCATCATCTTGTCTTGGGTTCAGTTTTGAAATTTCAGTTTCTTCTTTCACGTCCTTAGGAGATTGTTCTTCTGCCTGGGTTTCTTCTCTTACGGAACATTCTTCATTTTCTTCACTTTCAGTTGAACTCTTTTTGTCCATGGTTATCTATATCTTCAGAATTAAACAGACTGAGTTAAATATAAAAAATAATTTCCATCATAAATTTGTCATATTTTTCTAAACATTTAGTGAAATATTAAACAACGAAAATTAAATTTTAAAAAATATACCGCATTTTCTGGCCTATAAGACGCACTTTTCTTCTTTGAAAATAGGTCGGGAAAAAACGGGATGCGTCTTATACGTCGATACTCAGTTTATTCGGAGTTATGCGATTTTTTTCTTGTTTCCTTGCGGAGTGTGGATATTACAGTTACGTATAGCGAATGCACATGCGCTGTTATCGATGATTACGGCTGGGTTCGTTTAACTTTTCATTTTTTGTGAATGACTTTTAAGTGAGTGAAATTTCCACTGTTCAATTTTCATAAATTTGTTGGATTCCAACAAAAAAGGGGTAAAAAAAGGGATGCGTCTTATAGGCCGATTGCGTCTTATACGCCTGAAAATACGATAATTTACAATATATTCTAAATATCTAATCTCAAACATATGTTAGTATCTGATTATCATTTTTAAACAAAAATTCTTCCATCACAATTTTACGGAAGTAAAGAAAATATTACTTCAAGCAATAAATATAGCCAACTACCAGTTTAAGAAGTTAATATCAGGAATGACGTCCAATGGTTAGCTCAAAATCACGCTAAATCGAGGGCTGTTTAAAAAGCTACAGGAAAGTAGAATATTCCATATTATAACGGAAAATCTCATTGATAATTTATTTGCATTTCAAGAGTTTAGGTTGAAGAATAAGTATCTGGTTACATAAATAAAATCAGAATTTAAATTAAAAAAATGGATGTAAATAGAGGAAGAATAAACGCCATTAGAAGTAATTAAACTAAGTTACAAATGGCATTAAAGAACAATATTTTCAAGAAAACCTGAACAATGGCATCGAGTTCAAACTGCAGTTGAAAACATCGGTTTGGACATTTTGTTTTTCGGCAGGTTTTACCCGAAAATCTGCTTTAATTTACAGATAGTTTAATAATGTTCCGGGTTACTTAGTATTAAATTGTATACTGTTGTTGCATAAAAAATGCTCCCAAATATTATAACTTCTATGACTTATTACTTCATGCAATTTTCTTTTCCGTTTTATATTTTTCGTAGGTTTATCCCGATTTAGAATAATAATGCCAACAATATATTAGTGTAATATTAACTGACCATAAAAATAATAAAGCTCCAGATGCTTAGGGAAATTTTGTGTAAACGTAGCAAAGAAATTTATCTGGTAGGTATTATAAAATTATTTTTACACGAACCTGAAAAGTAACAAAGTGAAAGAGCTTATTAGAGAAAGGGTAAAAAGGTAACATATTTTAAAACTGTTTTTAATTAACTGGATTATGAAAGGCAGCATATTCATAAAATCTTATCAAAAGCAAATAACTGACTTTTGTTTATTATTTTCTCTGACAAATAAGTTCAAATATTCCTTTTGTCAACCAGTGTTTTATAACAACCTCCGCCAAGTGATGATCCCATTGTCCCACACAATTTTCAAGTGGCTTTGGAAAATGTTTCACTAGGCGTTAATTATCGCAGGCATTGGTGATGAAAATTCTGGTGAAGATACAGTATGTTTGGAAGCCTTACTGCTCGACCCGCATTAGGAAAAGGCGGGGCGAAGAAGCGCGCGTTGTATCAGAGGGCGTATGCAGCCAAGAGTTCACGTAATAAGGAGAAATTAATCTCATTAGAAATATCTGTCGCATATTCTACGCATATTATAGTTGCATGGGCCGCAAATACTTTTTTGGAATCACATGTGGTCCAATCTATGTAATACTTAAGTCAGGAAACGCGAAATCTTGCAGCATCGGTGGTTAGTTAGATTATTTGTGAGCATGGCAAAGATAGTACGGCTGTCTGTCAAAGTAAAGGGATGCCTTCGTGAAGGATTTTAAGTAAAACTATCTCGTATTCATTATACACATGAGAAAATTCATGAAACTCTACCATGTAGCTAGACCGTTCGCTTGGGTTAAAACCCAGGACGAATTACCAATATTCAGCAGTTTAAACGCTAGGCCATTTCTGAGCCCCGTAGTCGGGCCAACAGACTCGTCATTTGAAAGATTTAGAAGAAGCTAGATTTAAACACTGAGTGATAAATTCCATTAACTGTTATTTGACGAAGAATAATAAACAAAAATTGTTGCTCTCTTATAGTATGATTTTATTAAATAATATTCTATAAATTCTGCTCGATTAGGTATCTTATTCGTCTTGAATTACTTCTGTAGTTATCTACATCTTCTGTAGTTACTCATCTCCTGTAGTTCTGTACTTATCTGTAGTTATGTATTATGTTAGATAATCTGGGGCTTGCAAATGGCTCAATGTGCAACTGAACTCTGGTTATTCGACTAGAGTTGCAGTTGAATATTCCAGCGAACGGGCTAACTGCGTGACTATTTACGAAACGCTTTTCTGTGTGAGCGCTAGGTAGTTTCTTTTAAAGTGTTCCCCAAAGGCATACCTTTTCTTAAGCAGATAGACTTAACGTGCTTTGCTTTTATCAAATAATCCAACTCTTTGTTTTGTTTCAATACAGCAAAACACATGAAGAAATGTTCAAGAATCAGCTGGAACCTCCAGAAGTGATAACGGATCTTTCTGGAAAGATGCGATTTTTTGTTTTACTTTATTTATTTATTATTAACATTAGTTCAGCTATGAAAATCTGAAGATGAACCTTTTTTTAAAGAATTTCAAAGTCGACTTTGGACCGACTGGAAGAAGCGCATACAGTTACTGAAAAATGTATTGGAGCAAATGAAACTTTCATATCTTCAACGATAAAAATTCAGGTTAAAGTCTTGTTTATTTATTTTGTTACATTCTCATACTTCCGGTAGTAATCTTACGAGTTAAACACCAGCGGTTCTTTAAAATAGAAAGCATATTGAGTTTTTTTTTTTTTTTTTACTTTTTTGTTTGTAGATCTAAAAACAATGTTAAATTCTTTATGATAAATAAGATTAAATAAAACTAATAAATTAATCAAATATTTTACATATCTTGACTTTAAAGATGAAATTAAGATAAAAACGTATTGGGACAAACAAGATAAAGAGGCAATTCTGAAGGATTTTAAGCCTGGAGAAGGTAATATTTAATTACCTCCTCCAGTTGATGAGTTAATTTATTCAACATGGTTCGAAAAAGCTGGGAAATTTTTTATCGTGATAAAACACAATTTTTTTATTAGAATTGAAGAAACTGTGAGAGAAAGATCGATTAACTGTTGAATGTAAGCAAATCTATTATTCATAAGAAAATTTCTAAATACGACGAAGCAAATCACGAAGAGTGGATCCAAGGTGTTTCACTAAACGAGAAGAAATGTGAATAATTAAAAATATTAACCATACTTCCAAAACCAGTGCATTCAACTTAGAACAGAAGCCGAATAACATTTAACAATTCTGCTAATGGAAAACAGATTAAATAATTCTTTAAGAAAGTATAAAGTTCATGGCCAAGTAAATAGAAGAAAACTATTTCTTCCTGAAACTAATCCAATTCCTTAAAATATGTGTTTAAAAGCTTAAAGAAATTTATTTATTTGATTATTTGTAGAATGTAAATTCGATATTTCTTGAAGCGATTGCAGTAAAAATTTAGATGAAAACCATGTATTAAACTTCAAGTGAAACATGATGGGAAGTAACCATATTGTTTGAACCTGTAAGAGTGCTAGCGGCATTGAAAATCTATATTTATTAATACCAAATTGCCTAAACTTATGTATTTAAATATGCTAAAACTTTAAACACAGCGTTCAAAAAGGAGCAAATTGTCGGATACCGACTTTATCAGGACGATGATCCATGCAAAATGCTCATATTTGCAAATTATGCAATTTGTGTAACTGCCTATGCAATCAAAAAGCTTCCAAGGAGTCCAGACCTTAAATCTATAACACGCGCTTGAGATCAAGCTCAAGACACAATAAACTTAAAACTTCCAACAGAAATAAATTTAGAGTAAAAACTAATCACAATAAAAAAAAACTGTCAGAATCTTGAAACATTTATGCCTAGAAGACTTAGGGATGTCAAAAAAGAAAGAATACCCAATACAATATTAAAATTTTAGAATTTATTAAAAGTTTATTCGTGTGCCGCAATGCTTTTTTTTTTAACCTTACGCTCTCGTTTGCACACACAAACTGCATAACTTAATACCGTTCGTGACTTAGGATAGCAAAAGGACAGATTGCCTGCGGGTGGCGGCTAATATCCAAATACCCACAAGGGTATCGTCATTATTAAACACGTGTAGTAATGGGGCTCCAGGCTTTCTACTCCTGTGCACATACATAGTTGTACTGCTTACACTAAAATCAAGTGTGTAGGCGTTTTGAAGACTTCCATTGATGATTAAACCCCTGCCATCTATTAATACTTTAAGATTCCTCAAGGGCAGATGTCTTGAATGCTTTAAGTAAGATTTAAGTTAATACGATCTGATGTATGATCAAATCGTATTTCAAAATATAATAAGTATAATTGCATATAAAGAAACGCAACGCAGAATGCATGACGGAGACCAGCATCATAGAAGGACCAGCCGGTAGGAGAGAGGTGAGAACGCTGCACACTGTATAATGGATTCTGGATTCCTTGCTGAGTTGGTTCCCGCGGTGAGGAACAAATATGCCCAGTGATGGATGTTGCGCTAGAACATTAGTGCGACACTGCATAAATGGATTCTGGATTCCTTGCTAAGCTATTCCCGCGGTGAGGAGCAGTATGTTTAAAAACGGGTATTGTGCTAGAATATTAGTGCGACGGAGGAAAACCTGTAAATCCATAGACGAAGTTCTGGCCCGTTCACTTTTTCCTGTCCTTATGTGCCAAAATTATTTGGATGAATCCTTTTCAAATTTATATAGATATGTGAGAAAGTGCCGTGGAAAACTTAACATGGTTGTAAAGATCTACTTTAAGTAGCCAGCTCAGAAAGCACTTAAAGATTTAATTTTATGTCCAATGTTTTTACGAAATAAAACAGGTGAAAACTGAAAACGTACAAATCTCATAAGATTACAATGTAAACCAAGATGAAGGTAAAGTGATTTGATATTTCCCTTCATTGGATTTTCCAATATGAAACCGGTTACATAAGCCAATTTCCCCTAAAACCTCTTCCGTAAAAGCATATCCTTAAAAAGTTAGCCCTGGTATGCTTGTCAGTCATCTAAATAATCCTAATAATAATAGCCATGTTCTGAGAATAACTCAAATTGACAATTTATATCAGTTATTCAATGAAATCAATGTAAAGAATTTCTAAAATCTCAGAACAATATTATTCATTTCTGCTATGTCAATTTACTTGAAAATAAATCAGTTGGAAAATAAAAAATATCACTATTTGAAATTACGCAAACAAAATTTTAGTTCAAGAAGAAATACACACTCAGTGTTTGAATAAAAAGAACCATTGGTTCATGAATGATTAAATAGAAACCTAATATGTCGTTAGTTAACATGTCTACATGAATCATATATAACTCATATAAACATGTTTAACCGGGAATGATTATGGCAGCAGTTGTTGGTGTTACAACTCACTAATATAATTAGAAAACATTTTTATTAATTATTTTTTATTTTATTAATTTTATTTAAAGCTATTTTCTAATTATGTTAGTGTTATATATATATTTATATCGGATATCTTGGTTCAGCCACTCAAAAGGAATAGTTATTAGCGACGCTGACTGCTGCACCGAAGGTCCAGTGTTCGAATCCCAGAGAAGGCATGGATGTTTGTAAATGTATAGTGTCCGTGCAGATTGGGGACACTCTAAATATGCGGCGAGTCGAAAGCGAGATAAGTCACAACATGCTTATCTTGATTCATTATTCTTGTGTAAATTTATCAACACCGTATTTTTAGGTAAGTCACCTGAAATATGGAAATATTTGTATAATGGTCAGATTGACTAAAGCAAAGGAATTATATCATAAGGAGGGATATCTGCCTTTGGAGCAGGATGCGTTCTAAATGTTTTAAAAGAAACGGGCTCGCAGTCACTTTACAGATGGAGAAATCTAAGAAGCATTTCCATGAAGACAGACAATTCGCTAGAATCTGAACCCAGATTGGAATTTAGTATTCATTAAAGTTAATTATTTTCATATTTACTAGACGTAGTTGACGTAGATGTATTTTGTTTGCTTAAAATCGGATTTCCTCTACGTGTTAAATTAAGAAGTGCATTTTAGAATTGATAGGGACTTAGGACCGACTAGATTCATGAAATACATCAAAGTAAACTAGTACTACCTGCTTAAAGGAGGAATCCCTTCGTGGAGGATGTTTTAGGTGATCTCTGGATTAATGGTTTATATGGCGCACAATCTGGAAAGGTTATTAGCGCCAGACGCATTACTATTAAAAGTAGTACACAATTAAAACGCACAAAACACTTAAGCATAATCACATATTTAACACAACAGACATATAAAATCAAAAGAAGTAATACAATGATGAATACTGAAATGAAGTTACTGATTTATATAAAGCATATGACATGTGAAGCAAGTATAAAATCTTAAAACAGGAGATATTAAAGTAAATTACAATAAAATACAATGGTATTATCAAATTAAATAGTCAAATTAGATGATACCACCTGGGCTAATCTTTAGAATATGGTAACAGGTAGTTTGGTGACATTTTGGTAAGGCTTGATAAAGGTTACTAGCTAGGTCTTTAGCAATAATCTGAGAAGTACACAGTTCGAATCAGATTATTTTGTCTCAGAGAAATGAGAGGTAATGAGACATGTCATGTGACATTTTCCGGATAATTCTGATCCTGATTTTAGCTAATAAGCACTTAGAAACAATTTCGCTGCTAAAGTGCAGAATCGCCCACTTATTTGTTTGGCGCTTTTTAGAAGAGTAAGAAGAATTGGATTTTTGTCAATTTTCTTTGACTTTTTAAGTGAAATTAGGTCGATGTGTACATAGATAAAGTCAGGAGTGTGCGCAATGACATTTTTGTGCAATTCTGGGATTATTTTTAAGTAAAAATAAGTCGACGTGTACATGGATACCGTGTATGTGCAATTCTTAAAAACGCGGCAAGCAGTTTCCGATTCTGCACCTTCTCCCAATTTCTGCACCTAATCTTCGTCATGATTAAGCATTTTTGTTCCATAAAAGTTCTAGCATAAGCGTAATTCGGCTAGCAGATTGGTAGAAAAATGTTGAGTTAAAAAAAAAATGCTTTTACTTCGTGAAAACAAAATGGCGTCCAAAACAAAACAATCCGGTTGCTGTAGCAGGGTTGGTCGCCAAATTTTCGCCAAAAAATCGCCAATTTACCATAATGTAAAGATTTACCAAAACCTGTTTCTTTCAAATACCGAAATACATTAATATTGACCTCTTTCCCAAGATTCGGGCAAGAGGCAAGTCAGAGTCATTAAAATACTTTAAACGAGGTATGTTAAAATATAAACAGTCAATTAAAAAGTGACGCACTGCCAAAACACTCCTACAGTAAGCATGATGTTTTAAAGCAAAACGATTCGTATTCACGTTACACATGCGAAAATGCGTAAAATCTCTCACCCAACTTAACAGTTCAGAGGAATATGAATCCGGGTAGAACTACCAATATTTAATATTCTTTTGCTTCGTCACTGGAAGACCTCAGAATTGAAGATGCAGTATTATTAAACTACTACACTTGGTTTATAATAAGTTTACGACTTGCAAAATGTTGTGTTGGTGTTTTTAAATCAAAGAAAAATTTAAGAAATACCGAAAATACATTTATGAGGAAGGTAATTTTACATGACCTAGAGAAAATAAGTTATTTTAATAACTGGAGAGATGAATACTTCGTTTCTTGATTACATGAGTTTTTCTACATTTGTAAATTTCAAAATATCTCTTTCTGAAACAATTTTCAACATTCTTATTTTTGTAGCTCCTCATTTCTTACATTTTTTTCAAGTAACAAATTGAACTTAAAGTCATGTTTTTAGGCTTGTTAAATAAGAAGCGAGTACAGTCAAACATGTGATAAACATGTTTTTACTAGTATTGTTATTAATTAAGTTATATTTTAATTAAACGTCATATATTCATGGTACAAAGTAAGTAATATAACACGAGGTTTGAATAAAGTCTTAGCGTTTGGAAAACGGGTTTCAGTAATAAATCATTACAATATAGCTATTAAACTTAGATATATAAACTGCCTATTTAATAGTTGAAATTTTAGTACTGTTCATTTAATTTTTAGAGTATAGTTTAACAGGTCATATGTTAAACGCTAGTCACAGTTTTTACACATAATACAGTCAAAGAAACTGCAAAAGGAAAATATCGAAAGAGCCTGAAAAATTTCAGTTAATTGTAAGTCGTTTTATCAAGAAAATTAATATTAATTGAGAGCTCCCCATTTCGGTATTTAACTCAATATATACAAATTCGAAATATTGTATATCCTTAAAAAAATTTCAAGTATTCGTATGACAGCATATCTTTAAAATGTTCAATTGCAAATCTAAAGTATTAACTATTAAACAATTTTCCAAGGCAAATGATTTTTATATATTTTAAACATATTTATTAAATTCATTTCCAAAATACTTTGAACTATGCAAAAGTGACTGCATACATAGTTACACTTAAAAGCTTGAAATTACTTACATGCGTATAGCTGACCAATGTTAAAATTAATATGCAGGTAAAGTAATAACAGACGTTACGAACTGCAGCACAAACAGAAACTGAACCTAAAAAGAAAAAAAATTTTAGCATAGATACAGATAAATACAATGATTATTTTTAAACTGAAGAAGTTGTGTTGCGCTGTGGCTTCTAATTATTTCTTGAGATTAGCGTTCTCACAAACGGTTAGCATTCAATTTTATTTGTCAAAGTTAGGAATCTACAAATTTTCCAATATTCTATGAAGATTTTAATAGAATTTACAATTCAATCTTATATTAATTTGCAACTTCATTATACTTACTTTATAGTTTACAAAAAGGAAATTTACGTCCGAGTATTGTATGATTTCTGCATTTGTTCCTACAACAGAATATCTATATCGAAATTAGTTAAAGCTGCAATAGAGTAATAATAAGAAACACACAAAAAATAAAAAATAAAAATTTGCAAATTTGTACATCAAATTAAAGAAAAGATTTGCCCAAAAAACTAAATATTTATTTATTTATATATTTTCCATAGTATTGACTAGGATGAGCAGAGCCTAAATGCTTGATTTGGCCGCACATAAGTGCCGCAAGGTTAATATCAAAGAAATTAATTTTCGTTAACAATTATACAACTAAAGAAGGAGAACCTTATGGCTGGACCCTTTTAGTTAGAGATTTAAGACGGTTGGAGAAAAGGTGCTAAACTGTCAGTATCGAGAAAATAAAGGCTTTTTGACACAGATTTTAAGGTAACTATCATATTTTATTTCTTAGAGCTAAGAAACTTCTTTTTTATTTTTTCTTATTATTTTATGAATTTAAAGTAATATTTTACATTTTTGTAATAATTTCTTATCTATATGTTTCTCGGGTTTATTGTATTGAAAAATTAATAATAATAAAGGACAAATTTAAAATTCTTTAATATACATGACTATAAAAGTAAAACTAATCATATTACAAGTTTTATAGCTAATGTTACGCTTCTCTCATCTGAAAACTAAGAAAAACCATTCGTTCTTAGTTTGTGATAGTTTAATTTTCTGTCAAAGCGTTTTAAATCTTTTACATTAAGATATTTAAAATCTCGTCTAGATAATGTTTTCAAGAAATATAAATATCTTATCCTATTACGAGATTCATACTTGTAGTGTATAAATATAATCATTAAAGTTTTTCTTGAGTTCTATGAAACTTTAAACTGTATAAAAACGTGTCACATTAAGGCGCAATATAAGACAATCTCTAGTGACAGACATTATGAGCTAATTGCACTGACATTATAGTTTATTATAATTTTCTTTGTATGTAAAGTGAATAGCAGTCGATTTTGCATAGAAAGTTCTGCACAGCTTTTGTGCTCTTTAATATAATACAAACTGACCCAAAATATTACCATTTGTAGGATTTGGCATAATACTGTAAAACAAAAATTGGTTTTTGAAGTTGAAGAAAAACTTGCACGTAGCACCCTTATGCATACATTAATATTTTGAAGTAACTCTACGAAAGGTATATTAGGTGATCTATGCATAGTAATTCGAAACATTGTGTCAAATAAATGTTTCATTTCAATGCAAAATTTCGGTGATAAGTGAAATTCCTGCACTCGCTGAGTATGCTCCTACTGTACTAAATAAGTTTGACTAAAGACTGTGCATTACGTTGAAGTGGTGAAGGTTGACCAAAAGTAATAAAGTGATTATTTTTAAAACTTTTCAAGTTTTCACATATTTTAACACTTCCTTTGTATTTGCATAGCCAAGGAATAGGACAGTCTTATTAGTCATTTTATATACATCGTTTTGTATCTAGTGTATATCTATTGATGAATATAGTTCGATTAAACCTTCATTTAATTCCAAGAACATCTTATTGTTTTATCATCCACCACGTCCTCCGCTCGACAATATAATTTCGAACTAATAGTAATGTCCTGTGCGAATAATTTTATATTTCCAGTAAACCGTATCGGGAAAACATGTCCGAAGATTTAAACAAAAATTGCAGGTGGTAATAGGCCTAAGCAAGTTTTGAGTTCGAAGATAACTAAAGATTTTTTAAAAATTAAGCAGCGCAAACAAAGCAGTGCAGTTGTTAGAAAGTGACTTAAGTTCTACGTCTCAGTATCTATTAGAGAAAATATTGCAATGATATAAAATTGTCTGAATATTACTTAAAATCTCCAGAGGAGGAAAAATTAAAACTATTGTTTCAAAACTGTTGTACATCTGAAAGAAGAGGCTAGGAGATATCGTGATTTGCTTGATGTGGAATGAAAACGCGAAGTACTTTTCTTTAGAAAATATTCACAAATGTACACGTATTAAAAAAGCTATCGCATGTTTTATAATTCAATAGCTAAAGTCTAATACAGGTATGGCCAAACTGTGCTTCGCAGCTATATGAGGCTCGTTAATTGTGGCTTATCTAAAGAGCATTAATTTTGCTGAAATATAATTTATAGCAGAAAACTTGGTACAATACAGTATGTACTATTTTCATGATTCAGTAGAATTGTTTTAATTGCGTTATGTAAGTGATAATTTTAAACAGTTTGGAACTGTATACTTAATCATCAACACAATAAGTAAATTATGAATATATATATTTGTAACATACAATGAAGAAACAAAGTGCATCTATTGATGTAGTCCAAATCCAGTAAATGAATTAATCTAAGGGTAGATTTTGATATCCATTAGTTATGTGAAGGCAGCCCGAAATTATGCAAAGAAATCGTTAGATTGGCATTTTCTATTAAATTAACAGTCATATCTCTAATTACTATTTCTCCATACGCATGTATACTGTTTCATATATTTCATCAAAAGGTACCCCTATAGATACAGGAGACCATCAATAAAGCAGCTACACCGTCATTTCGACTTCCAGAGCTTCTGTGTTCTATTGATGGAAACTATCTACCATCCGCTATCAGCGGCATTTATTTAAAATAAAATTTTACAAAGTTGCAATGGTTGTACGAATATATATAACTTGCAGAAACAGAATCTTGTAGTGTTTACATAGATACAGTCAAAAGCTAGTTATGTTTCTTAAATTACTGCATTATCCTTTTTATGCGACTCTAAAGACACGACACTATTTTTTGTATTTTCCACCTACTTAAAATAAATCGTTTGGAAGTGTCAACTGCCGTAAAGTTGAGCTGTAAAATCACAACACTGGTAGTTTGATTCGGTTTCAAATCTTGGTGAACGGGTTGGCTGCATGAATTTTACTTGTTTTCCTTGTGTGCAGCTTAAATAGAAGCTAGTTTACTTTGCATTCCTCCAAAGGCGTCTCTCTTTGAAGTCAAACAAACCTCATGTGCTTTGCTAAATCAAAATAAGCCAATCTTATTTAAAACTTATGAGTTATAATCAGGAGGTGGAAGGAATTGGAAAGTGCATGAAACGTTTTGACTTTTCTAACTACAATAATTTTCGGCACATCGAACAAAAGCTTAAAATTTGCCTCTCGCACAAATATTTCTTCCTGAATAGACAGCATGAACAGCATTTATCAAAACACTACATAATTAAAAAATAAGATCCTTCTTAATTGATTTTGATTTCTTTTTTTTTTGTGTGTGTGTTTGTTCAAAAATGTTCGCTCCTTTTAAAACCCAAGTATCAAACTACAATTCTTAGATCTGCTCTTGAATACTCTCAAATTTTAATTTTAGGCTCTTAGTGATCTCAAGCTTGGCTACCCATGGTCTATCAATTGCATACACCAGCCCACAGGATTATTGTGGAGTTCCAACTATTTGTGTAACTGAACAAGATAAAGCACAAGAGTTGAGTTATCTGATCTATACGAAAAGTTTTTTTATGGAAGACATTCTGAAAGAAACTAGCTCGTATTCATGTGACAGACGATAGCATGAATTTATGCACATAGCTCATCTGGTCTGTTTAGTTTGGTGTAATTGATTATGGAAACGCACACTAGGGCTATCGGCGTAAGGGGAGGTGTGCCTTCGCGAAAGAATTTCTAATGTAAACTTGCTCGTATACACATTAAACATGGGCAAAATCGCCCATGCAGCCAGCCCATTCACTAGGAATTGAACCCAGGTAGGAACTATCAGTGTTCAGCATATTACCACTCGACCGTTGGTGAACATTCCCCAATCTGATGATATTCGAGCTCTGTAGAAATATTTTTATTAGTTTTATCCATTTGGGCCTTGCTGGCCCATACAATTTCCAGCATGAATTGTTAGTTACTAAGTATTGTTATGCTGACGCAAAAAGTTTTAATTTCATTAGGATAAAGCAATTTGATTATCTAAATGCTGTTAGTGTTACTCTGAATCTCCATTTTGCTAACTTACTAACGAAACTTTAAAATATTGTGAATATGTTTCTTAAATAATTATCATAGAATAGTCCAGTCTATTTTGTATAACATTTTTGGCCTTCCCCTCCTCGTGAAATTCTCTGGTGATTTGCACATTGCAGCCAAATACTTCTGTATCAATATGTACCTCATCTGAAAAATACGTAACACACTATTTGCACTTTTCCTTAACAAATTTATATCAAACAAGATTTATAATAATGCTCAAAAAGCTTCATCTTTTTATATAGACAGCCTAACATCTAATGAATATAATTTCTTACTTTCTTTCGAGGTCTACGAGTCTAATAGACGGGATGATGCTTTGATGTTTTTACTGGCATTCAGCAAGATAATTCGTTCCTAGACGGATGCCTTTGTAAAGGACTTTTTAAGGGAAACTGCCTTGTATTCACTTTATTCATGGCTGGAAAACGCTAACACTCTCACCCAGCCTAGCCGCTCGCCGTGATTTTAAATTGGTTCGGACCGTCTCAGGTATTTAACCATTCGGGCGAGGATCGGATCCCTGTTATTTCTTTCTGTCACTTGAAAATGTTCAATTTATTAAAATTTCGTATTCTATGTCTTTGATTTCTCTGGGTATTGGTCTATTCGTAACCTAATAGACCAATAGCTTTTGGCCTAGCTTAAAACTGATTAGAGCGTTAAAATGAAATTGCATAACCTTGATCATATTTTAATATTTTGAATAGAATGATCTTTATATATTTAGGAATTTATTTTTCTGTTTGAAATTTTAATGGTGAATTCATTGAGGTACTCGAATGTAATCTGAATTTTCCGATTGCAGTTTTCAATTTTCCTTAGAGTTCAGCACCACGAAAACGTAATGCTGTTTAGCACATACCGTTTTAAAATATAAGTAAGACATTAGATTAGCTCACAGATAAGCAAATGTGTAACCTACAAATAAAGTAAAAGGAAAATAAGTCTGAAGCCGTTAATGAAGAACATCGGAGTATCGGACCAAGTATTACCTAAAACATAAGATTGAAAAAAAAAATAATTATTAATTTACGAAATTCATTGAAAATTAATGTTTTTACACTAGAATTAAATTAATTCTAATACAGTAATTTTAAAAGGCATAAATTATAGGAATACTTGTGTATGTTGTGTCGTAAATGTATGAAGATGTAATAGCATAGTAATAGCGTACTGTTTATATAATATAAAAGGTGCTAATGTTAGATTAGCTTTGGAAAATGCAAGATAATTTTCTGTGCAGGTTTAGTGTAAAATTTACTTTCAAATAAAATTCAAATAATTATTAAATTCATTTTAAGCACATGACTGAACTCTCATTTCATAAATTGTGAATAAGGATGTAAAACATAGCTTTTCGTTTATGTTTATTATCGCTACTAAAGATTCC